TCACGCCATCATGCATCATGCATCTGTCAGCCATTATGTCAGGCATTGTGTCATCATGATGCATCAGCCTATTATGTCAGCCTAGTGTGTATGTCAGGCCATGATTGCATCAGGGTGGGTCAGTCCTATTATGTCAGGCCATTGTGTCATGTCAGGCCATCATGCATCATGTCAGCCTATTATGTCAGGCCATTGTGTCATGTCAGGCCATCATGCATCATGTCAGCCTATTATGTCAGGCCATCATGCATCATGTCAGCCTATTATGTCAGGCCATGATGCATCATGTCAGCCTATTATGTCAGGCCATTGTGTCATGTCAGGCCATGATGCATCATGTCAGCCTATTATGTCAGGCCATTGTGTCATGTCAGGCCATCATGCATCATCTCTCATGAGAGTTTGGGAAGATAATGTGGTGGTTTGGGTTCCGGGGCCTCATTCTAGAGGGGTAAAGAAATAAAACCACTGCCCAACCCCCCCCCCCTCCTTTTCCCCAACAAGTATGTCTTTAAAGTTGACAAATTAGGGGGTGTTTCCTTAGAAGTATGAGTGAATATGCCTGAGAGGTGAAAAACCTACAGTCTGGATACAGATAGCCTCATCTGTAAAATGGATGTGCACACACAAAACTCAGGTTCTGGAACAAGACTGAAGTCCAGAAATTTCTGCAGGAGTTTACAGCCGGTGAATGTGAAGAAGAAGAAGAGAATGTGACATTTTCAGACTGTGAGAACAAGAGAGTGCCCTGGTGTGCTCAGTTGCAGAGTTGCCCACTTATACCCGGAGATCCTCAAGCCCTCTAGCTGTAATCGCTGCAAAGTTAGTTGTGTATTAGCACACAGTTATCTGTTGCCCATCCTCCACTTAGTCTTTGAAGTCTGTATGTTAGCACACAGTTATCTGTTGCCCATCTTCCACTTAGTCCTTGAAGTCTGTATGTTAGCACACAGTTATCTGTTGCCCATCTTCCACTTAGTCCTTGAAGTCTGTATGTGTCTTTCTACGGATATCATTGCCACTACACCTGCAGGCAGTTTTGGTGATTTGTGTTATGAGTTATCAGTTTGGTTATTGTCATGACACTCCGGACACAACCATAGGTGCTCAGATTCCCCCTTATTCTTCTTTGTTCAACATATATATCAGTGCCCTACATTTATTAGTGCCAGTCATATATTGGTTAACAAGACTTTGGGTATGTCAGGTGTGCCTCTCATGTGCTGATCTTTACTCCCAGGTCTCGTATTCTCAACAGTCATATGGACACCCTGCTCCCAAAATACTCAGATCGTCCTATCTCTCTAATGGCATGAACAGTGTTGGCCTGATCCACAGTCTGGCCATCTGCATCTAAGGCAAAACCAGCCAGTCTATCACCTCTATCTTTGTCAGCAACACCAGCATGCCCTATGAACGAATGAACCAACAAACAAACTTTATTTTCAAAGGGTTACAAATTGGGCACACAGGCTCGTCTGACATTCGGCCCTTCTAAGCACTCATTTTTCAGAGTACCAATGCCTGTTATCAATAATGCATGTTATGGATGTAATAAAGAAATATACATTATGGAATAATGCATACACACATCATGTGTATACAATCTTACTCACTCAAACACACACACACACACGTATACATACTCTTACATTCTCATACATGCACACTCATATACAGACATACATAATACATACATACACACATCTACATACATACACAAACACAAAAAACACACACATGCATACATAGACATACATGCACACACATTCCATACATACACACCTACACATGCATGCATGCATGCATACACACACATACAATCACATATACAGACACCCACACATGCCCACAACCACACATATACACCAACATGCATAAATACATGATAAAGACGAAGGTAACTGACTACACAGGGGAGTTTCACAACTGTCTGCATACAAAGCCTGATTCTACCCATTGGCGATTTTCATGAAACTGCATTTTCATGCTGTTATTTGTCACTTAACAATATGGCAAAGGCACACATGGAAATTCATGCTAGAAACAGGTTCAAATCATAGGTGACTTCGGCATGATGCCAAATGATTGTAAACATACCTGTAGTCTGATCAGAATCCGACACTGTATGTGTGCATCATTATATTCTGCCCTTTCTTGCTCTTGCAGGTACGCATGCAGAACACTCTCAGATATGGCATTCAGGTGGATGTCCGAACATATGTTGGTCCTGTCCCGTCTTCAGCCAGAGATGGGGAGTGGAAAATTGCTTACAGAAAGTCCAACGACACCTGGACTTTACAGGTATGTGCTTAGTCAGCAATCACTTTGATTGTACACAGATAAGATGACATCAACTCTGATGTGTATAAATTTACCTCTCATAGAGAGAATGAGAGATGAAGAAATAAAATACAAGTGATTTAATTCTCAGAATTAACAATAAGCCAATTATGAAAAAATTAACGGTGGGTCTGATGTCAGTAATTTATTTCTCAGGGTGAGAGAGAGAGAATGAATGAATGAATTAGGAAAACTTATCGTGAGAGAGAACGGTTCATTAATTGTCTTGCTGTGCCGATGTATGTCACGTACGACATGCAGTTCCTCCGTTCCCTTCTGTTGTTTGCAGCCCCCTGATGTCTGAGATGGAATCCAGTGCAGCAACTCTGACTTTTCCCTAGATTTTCTCCTGGACATCCTTTTTTTTTCCCTCAGTCCGTCTGTGTTTCATTTCAGTGCCTGTTTGGTGATTCTCTGCTTATTTCTCAAGAAGTGTCCAGTCTGGCACCGTCTTCTCTGTCTTATAACTATTGATATAAGGGTTCGCTCACACATGTCTCTGTTTTCTTCACCCCTTTGAATTATTTCCATTTTATGTTCACCATTTTTGTCAAATATTTGTTTTCTTATACATTTAACTTTGGTTTCATGTCTCTAGTGGTTCTCCAATAGTCCCTGGCGTATGTTAAAACTGAAATGACATCAGAATTGAAAATTTTAACTTGCTTCTCAAACTATTCAGTTCCATAATCTGTCCAATTTTAAAAAGCTGCAGATGCTTTTCCAGGGTGTGTCATAATTTGTGATTCTGTTTGTCTCCAGCGTTACATGTAGTTGATCTGTTGTTGGTGTCTTCAGTGTTACATGTGGTTGATCTGTTGTTGGTGTCTTCAGTGTTACATGTGGTTGATCTGTTGTTGGTGTCTTCAGCGTTACATGTGATTGATCTGTTGTTGGTGTCTTCAGCGTTACATGTGGTTGATCTGTTGTTGGTGTCTTCAGTATTACATGTGGTTGATCTGTTGTTGGTGTCTTCAGTACATTTATTTATCTTTTCTGAACTTATGTGTGTTTTTAATTGTATCTTTGTCATTGCTATTCTCACTTAGCAAAATAATATCATCTGGAAAACTGAGGTCTTTCATTTGTGTTCTCCACCCAGTCAGTTCCAGTGTTTCCAGCACAACGTTTGATCAACAGCTGTTCAACTTTTATGTCATTAATTTCCTTCTCAGAGAGAATGAACGAACGAACGAACGAACTTTATTTTCAAAGGGTTACAAATAAGCCAGAGAGAGAGAGATAGAGAGAGAAAGAGAGAGAGATAAAAGTAGAAGAAATTAGTTTTGAGCACCTATAAAGAGAGAGTAAATGATGTTTTCTACTCTGGCAGGTCTACTGTCATGAATCAGCCCTGGTGGGAGGTGAGGCTAGAGTCCAAGCTGCCCTGATCATCACCAACCAGGATGACCAGGTGGTCCAGGTGGAGGAGTCTGAGATCACCATCTGCAGCCGAGGCAACCACTTGACCATGAGCATAGCAGTACCCAACCAGGACCAGTGCAAGAACATGGCCGTGCTGATAAAACCTCTGCCCAAGTAGAACAGCGTTAGCCACAGATGTTAGCCGAGATTGTTTGTGCTCCTTATTGTGCTACTTTTGGGCTCTTTATCAACTGCAGCACAATATTTTTTTCGTTAAGTGACCCAAAAAAAGGAGCAAACTAAATTTGACGATACCCTAATGGGTTAAACAACATGCAATAAATCCCAAAAGGAAGTATATAAGTAATGTTTTGATGACACAGGGATGACGTAAGAATGACCTCTTTTTAAAAAAAATTATCCCGAATGTGTGTGTGTGTGTGTGTGTATGCTGTAAATGTAATTGTACCCAGCATGTCTATACACTATGCTCCACAGCTGTCATACAGACATGGTGGCCACTAGCCACAGACAACATGCCATCAAAACAAGTCTAGATCTCGACATTTAGGGGGTGAGAGGGTCAATGTAGAAGTTGATGATAATGATAATGCTGATGAAAATGTTGGTAAACACTTTGTCTTGTGTGTGTGTGCGCACATGCGTGCTTGCATGTGTGCGTGTGCATGTCATTTTTTTTGCTAGTTTCAAGTCATGTTTTGATATCATGTGTTTCTGGTGCCAAGTATGATAACTACAGCACCTGACAATATTGCATTCACCTGATGAATTATTCAGTGAGTGGCTAGTGCTGATGTTGACTTCATGGGGACCATTTTCTGATGAGCTCCATCTACAGTACTTTCAAAAATCATCATTATGTGGTAGAATTCGGAACAACTCACAATGTCAGGCCCAAACACGGCGTTATTGGCCGTTCATTCATCCTTCCTGACCTTTCACACAACTGACTCTCTGTCACAGGGGAGGTCAGGTTGTTTTGTATGGTCTGAGAGTTGTTTATTGTGCATCATGCAATGTTTGTTGTGGGTGGCCCCCGGCGACGTTTCGAATGTGATAGCCGTCTTGGATTTTAAGTAGGACATGAGTTTATTTCAGCTGTCAGCGTTGGCGGGTGATGAGGAGGGTACCACTGCTTTTCTGTAGCAACACAGCATTTTAGAGGCCACTGCCAAATGTTATGAAGTCTGAAACCATGGAGCTTACGTAGACTGCACTCATTCATAGGACCTAGGCTGAAGCTGTGGGGGGGGGGGGGGGGATTAGGGCCAGTTGTAGATGTTATGGGGTCTTTGAGACTGGCAGTAACATCCTGTAATATGGAACATCGCCGGTGATAGTGTAGAAGACTATGCATCCTGACACTCCTGGGAAAGAGAGTTGGGCACGTGAAAGGTCAGGAAGAACGAATGAATGGTCAATCAGGTCATGTTTGGGCCCGACTTTATGAATTGTACCCAGAATTTTTGCAAAGGGGCATTCTCATCAAAATCCATCAGAAATGGCTTAGGCTTTGTTTATTTGCACAATATTAGTTGCAAGCTTCACAATATAACGAACACAAACAAAATGTGAATGTTGCGGCTATGGAGCCTTCATCAGCGCATACATAAATAAAACAATACCATACAAATACACAAAATCACTTAGCTTAGTACACAACCCAATGTAAAAAAAAAATATTCAGCTAATGTGCCATCTGATGCCACTTAGAGGTTCGAAAATCTTATATGTGTGGCTAGAGTGTTGTTTCAGACGAAGGGTTGCAATAACATCCATCCGATTTTTCTTTTGGTTTTTATCACTTACGTGGCTGAAAAAGTCTTTTTATGCAAATAAGAAGTGAAGAAACAATCAATTATCTGATAGCTCTATAACTCAGAGATACATATAATTTTTCTGTTTCTATCCAAAACTCACAAGAGTGACGACTGTAGAAGACAGTTTGATCAGATTTCCTTTTTCAGGGCGATTAAGCTTGCATGATCAGGAAGTGTTTGTTACTATCAATTCAAAGGTTATCTTTGCGAGTGTACTCATTTTTGGGGAAATAATGAAAGTTTTCAGCTGACGCCTTAAAATGCTGACTTATTATGTTGAATATCACTTTTTTGTTAAAATCAGCAAAAATTTAAAAAAACTAAACATTGTACCAAATGTGGAAATATTTCTATATCTTTCTCTTGTATGTGATTATCCCAAAGAGACAACTTCTGTTTCGAGCATCAATTTATGCAGCTGGAAGGCGTTTCCTGGGATTTATTACTGATTGATTCTGATCTTCGAGGTGTGAACCTCACAGACTGCAATCCTGAAAGAGAACAACCGTCTACCCTAGCCCACTACATGAATGACTGGGCAGACATGTTTGGTAGCCTGCCTGGACTTTTACATGGCTCACAAGTTGAAGAACACTGCTTTAGACAAGAGGTTTCCAAACTGTGTGTCACGACACTTGCAGTATGTCGGCTGTAGTGTGAAGGAGTACCATACAAACACAAAGCATTCAACTGAATAACCAGTACATGATAAACTTGAACCACTCGGTTGCTTGTAGACAGAATTATTGTGTTGCAAAATTATGTTTTGTCTAAAGAATGTGTCACTAACTTGAAAAGTTTTGAAAGCTCTGCTGTAATGATTCCTACCTCCTGCAACTGTGTAGCAGTGGCACCTCCTGCAGCTGTGTGGCAGTGCCCCCTCCTGCAGATGTGTGGCAGTGCCCTTGTTCATTTATTCTTCAGGTTGTTGGTCCAAGTCTTCTTTTGCCAGTCACTTGACCACTTGCATTCAGCTGTTCCCCACGGTAGGAATTTCCACAAGAGATCATTGTGATTTCACAGCCGACACGATTAGTCTCTGTCATTATTACTTGAAAGTATGGACTTTATTGAGAGGCAGAAGAGGAGGATTGATCGAGGTGTTTGTTTATCAATATTTTCACACTCAAAATGTAGCAGCCATGACCTCTAATAATAATAATTGTTTTTGTTCTTTTAAACAAGGCTTGAGCCCCATTCTCTAGAGAATTATAGGTGGGGGGGTCTAACCCACCTCCCTCCCCCCAAAATCACATGCATGACCGACCATACATGTTGTCAGAGTGTTCAGTGTCACATTTCTTCTTGGTTTGTCCACTGATGTCAATGCTTTTGTGCCTGTATACAACATGGCTGCAATATTTGCACCTTGGGCAGCACAGCTGATGTCTTGGGGAATTTGTTATCTGAGTTATCCTTCCCGGTTGGTTTGATGGAACATTTGTAGCCTGGAATGTGTTGTGACATCATCACTTGCTGATCCACAGCTGTTGTCCCTAGGGGACCCTGCTGTAGTTTGTAACCTCCTGATTGTTTGTTTTGGCATCAATATTCTTCTGTCCTTTCTTGTGACTTGTTTATTGTTATGGTCTGTGTGAACTGATGTTATTGCAGCAGACATTGTTTTTATTAAAGCATATTTGTGCATACATTTGTATATTGTCACGTATAGTAACATTTTCAACCTTACAGTGAGAAGTTGTCAAATGTAACATTTTGTGGCAAGCTGTAACTTCCTTGTCTTATGTAACATTCTGTGAGAGGTTGTAAATTGTAACATCATTGTTGTCTTGTTAACATTTCAAACCATTCTTTGTTGTTTGAGTAGTTGCCCGGTGTAAGATCTTCAACTGTTTATTGTTGTCCAACGTAACAGCCATTGATTTCCTTTTATCAGCACTGTATTGAGTTTCCTGCTTTGTAAAATCCTCATGTTTTTGTTAGTTCACTGGTTGGCAGGGTAAAAGGTAAGAAAGATGTCACAGAAACATTAAAAGTCCGTAATAAAATAATATAATTATGTATACAAGAAATATCGCAGGTTTTTCCTGCGTGTTACAAGGCCCACAAGAAAAGCAAAGAATATGATTGGCATCAAGAAAGTCAGGCCTTGCATCTCTTTCTCTCTCTCACAAACTGTGTGAAAAATGTGTGAGTTTCACTGATAACTCATATCCTTTCATCAGTCATCATGTGCCATGTCTGTAAACGTAAGCAGTCATGTATGGCCATCTCACACAATCACGGATCAGATCAGTGTTCTTGTCTCACCCCATTCTTCTTGCCAGACCATCCAGGTACTTATCTCTCTACCTTCCTCTTGCTCTCTTCCAGTCAGTCTTGCCACCAAGTTCTCGAACTCATTCATTCTCATAAACATGTCCAAAAAGCATTGACTGCCGAGGTCTAATTGTGTCAGTAAGTTTACGACTTTCATCTGTTTCATTAAGGATGCTTTGTTTTTCTATTCTTCCATGATATGCTTTGCATTCTTCTCAGAAACCATATCTCTGCTGCCAGTAAGTGTTTTCAGCATATCCTTCACACAAACTAATTGCCTATATAATGTCCGTCCACTTCTATTAGCTTACTGCCATGTGAAACAAGGGCATGACTGTCTCACCTGTAGCAGAGTGTGTCATACTCAAGAATAATTTTCTCAGGTCTGTCTCTCCACTTTCTGAAGATTTCACTCCTCTGAACCCAGCGACTGGCTGTGCTCCTACCGACTGTACAACTTCCACAAATAGCACATGAATGTTCACCACAATTTCTTTTTTCATGATATTTTACAGTTCTATTTTGTAACACACATTGTCCTGGCCCTATATTTTAAAATAATTCTTGTGGTCAGAATGAGTTACCAATTGTTGCATAAAATGTTGACATTTTAAATCTGAATTGTGCAAGATTTAATGTTTGCATCATTTTTGACCAAGAAACCAACATTACTTGTTGAATACCCCTTTGTAGTACCACTAGAACCTAATGTGCATGTAATGTTTCTTCCTCTAAATTTGCCCGTTAAAGGCGGTTGGTACACTGTGTTGTGGTTTAAAGCTAGGCTACAGTATCTGCCCTTTTCGACTCAACACATCCAACCAGCATACCTCTAATTAGTTGCCTTTTATGAAATGCTTGTTAAAGGCAATGGGTTCATTCAACCACCACCCACTTCCCGCCCCCATTCCCAAATTGGGGCCTCAAAACCCACAATGGATATGTATGTATTTTAAAACTAGAATAACTTCCGACTTGCTTGCATAATAATTGTCCTGCTGCAACTCACTGACCCCTGTGGATAAAATACTGAGCCAGAATCAGCTTTTGTGTTTGC